TCACAGAAGATTTTAATTATGACAACATTAATATACCAATTAATAACAATTCTGATTTCATTATTACTGACATTTCTATTTTTGAAAAAGATGTAACTAAATCCCTTTTAAATTTAGATGCGAACAAAGGAGCGGGCATTGACAACATCCCTCCTTATTTTTTAAAAGCTACAGCACATACTGTTGCAAAACCAATTCATTACCTTTTTAATAAATGCTTAAAAGAAGGGATATGCCCATCTATTTGGAAAACAGCTCGAGTTGTTCCAATTTACAAGGCAGGCTCAAAAAAAGATGTTGAGAATTACAGACCGGTATCGATCTTATCAACAATCGCTAAAACTTTTGAAAGGTTAATACATAATGCGATATATCCTAGTCTTCACAATGTAATTATTCCGCAGCAGCACGGTTTTACTAAGAAGCGTTCAACTGTCTCTAACTTATTAATTTATACAAACTACTTATTTGAGAATCTGGATAGTAACATCCAGACTGATTGCATATACACAGATTTCCGCAAAGCTTTCGATCGCGTTGACCATAAACTACTTCTGGAAAAGTTAGCCTTTAATGGTATCCGTGGTAATTTATGGAGATGGTTTAAGTCGTATGTGACAAATCGAACCCAAAAAGTAGTTATTAGAGGTTTTGAGTCAGATATTGTGCATATAAGTTCTGGTGTGCCACAAGGATCAATTTTAGGGCCTCTTCTTTTTATATTGTATATTAATGATGTTAATAGTTGTTTCAAGTTTTGTAATTTTATTCTGTACGCTGATGATATTAAAATTTATCGCAAAATTCAACATTATCATGATCATCTTAACTTTCAAAAAGATTTAGATAATTTTTCATCTTATTGTAAATGCAATAAGCTTGATTTGAGTGTTAATAAATGTAAAGCCATAACGTTTACCCGTAAGCGTCAGCCAAGTAATTTTAATTATTCTTTATGTGGAGTCCCATTAGAAAAAGTTCATAAAATTAAAGATTTAGGAATAATATTAGATAGTAAACTTATCCTTGATACACATGTAGAAAGCGTAATTAATAAGGCTCTTAAAATGTATGGTTTCGTGATGCGTATTGGTCGTGAATTTAAAAAACCTCTCACTTATTTGCACCTCTACAAATCTTTAATAAGATCACAACTCGAATATGCAGTAGCTATTTGGTGTCCGTATTTTAATAAATATATAAATAAAATCGAATCCATTCAAAAAAAGTTTTTAAGTAGTGTAAATTACAAGTGCAGACGAGTTAAATTACCCTACTATCAATTGCTGGTCGAATATAACTTACTTAAATTAAAATCCAGACGTCAACAGATTCAAGCTATGTTACTGTATGATATCTGTCATAACAGGTACGATAGTATGGAACTAGTTAATATGATACAATACAGAGTACCATATAGGCCATTGTGTCGCATAGTTCATACCAAACATACATTTTTTACTAATAAATGTCGAACCAACATAGGCAAAAGATCCCCTATGTATATGTTGGTAAATTGTTATAATAATAATTTCAATAACATTGATATTTTTGCTCATAAGGTAGGTTTTTATAAAAAGGAGTTACTTTCAGTACTCAAAGGAGAATGAGTTTGTGTAATTGGTTATTCGAATAATAATTACTTTCATCATTTTATTAGTTGAAGACACAAACATTGTATCAGATGAAAAATGCGCTAATCTCAATCTCAGCTTTTATTAATAGTAATTGGTGGTCAACGTTGTTGGTTGCACTATTATATTATATTTTTTGTAGTAAATGTATTCTAGATTAAGAAATATTGTGCAAACTGTTTGTTGATCCTAATAAATTAAATTAAAAAAAAAATCACTCACCTTCGATTTGCCGACGATATAGTCCTTATGGCAGAATCGCTGGAGGACCTAAGCACTATGCTCAATGACCTCAATAGTGTCACCCAACGGATAGGTCTTAAGGTGAACATGGACAAAACAAAAATCATGTTTAACGTCCATGTCACACCTATGCCGGTAGTTGTTGGGAGCACTAAGCTCGAAGTTGTTGACGAGTATGTTTACCTGGGACAAATAGTCCGATTAGGTAAGTTCAACTTCGACTGAGAGGTCAATAGACGGATTCAACTCGGCTGGGCAGCGTTCGGGAAACTAAGACACATCTTCTCATTAGGCATACGTCAAAACCTGAAAACGAAACTGTACAACCAGTGCGTGTTGCCAGTGATGACTTACGGATCTGAGACGTTTTCCTTCACTGCTGGCCGGATGAGGAAGCTCAAGGTTGCTCAGCAAGCTATGGAGAGGGCTATGCTCGGGGTTTCTCTGCGTGATAAACTTAGAAATGAGGATGTCCGCAGTAGAACCGGAGCAACCGACATAGCCCAACGGATTAGTAAGCTGAAGTGGCAGTGGGCCGGCCATATAGCTCGAAGAACCGACAACCGATGGGGAAGAAAGGTTCTCGAGTGGCAGCCTCGTACCGGTAGGCGAAGTGTAGGGCGATCCCCCACTAGATAGAGTGACGACCTGGTAAGACATGCAGGAAGTCGATGGATGCAGGTGGCTCAGGACCGTGCTTTGTGGCATTCCTTGGGGGAGGACTATGTTCAGCAGTGGACTTATGAAAGGCTGTAATGATGATGATAATGATGAAGTCACAAAAAATTCCTTAGATAATAAAATTATAACATTATATTTATTAGTATTCCTCGTAATAATTTATTTTTTATATACAAAGATACAAACTAATTAGTACTTTACAAAACTAGTTGAGTTCCGCAGCTTCACCTGATTCGTCGTGTTGGAACCATGGCTTATGCTGGTAGGTACCTACCCAATTTTATTATATTTTACCTATACAGCAGCATCTCAAGTATTCCGCATAAAATATTTGATTGGGGTTGAACAGAATAAATAAAACAGGTTAAAATTATACGATGTTCTGTTTATTCAACCGACTCGTTACAGATGTGCAACCGACAAATATTTACGACATTTATTATTGGGTTTTTTTATTGTCTTTTGTTGAATTTAATGATATAATGAATTCTCATCCTTACATATAATTCAATTAAAATCGTGATGAAAGCAATCACATGGTTATTAGAATTCAATTTTACTTAAAGCGTAAAAAGTCGATCTGTAGTTCTTTAACACAGCGTAGTCGCCTTACTTGAAAAACGTGACCTCTTTTGCTCCACGCTTCCAGAGTAACGCCATCATGTAGGAGGGAATTGAACAGATTCTGAAAAATTTCAAATACCAGTTTTACACCACCGTTTAGAAACTCTGCTGTAATTGTTATTATGTATCAATTCCACATATCGATATTTTATTTTTAGATTGTATTGAGTGTGTCAGAATGTTAGAAGTCTTGTCTGTGGTTCACTCTTGTGTGTCTTTGTTATATGTACCTCTCTGTATTATGTCTAAAATAAAATCAGTGTTTATCTTATGAATCGTTTCTTTTTTTGAATCCAAGCGCACTCTAATAGGTTATGGGCCCAGAGTGCCTTTAGTAGAAGTTGATTTTTATAGTTAAATCGGATTTTCGGAAAGTTTGACTTGCACGAGGTTAGGCGTCATGCGTTCGGCTGATAAGTGATTCGTTATGTAAAAGCTCGAAATATTATTGTCCAGGGTCGTGCCGACAATATTCTACCAATGATCAAGGATAAAGGGAGAGCTAAACTCATTATGAATGCTCTAGCTACAAAGTATGAGAAGAAAGGAATGAAGTCTCTTGTTACCGCTCAAAAAACTTGGAGAAAGATGGAATATAAAAATGACAGGCCTCTTCAAGATTTTCTACAAGACTTCGAAACTATGGCAATAGAAGTGAGAGTGGCTGGTGGAAAGCTGGAAGAAGATGAGATTGTTAATCAACTTCTTGTTGCCATGCCCTCTGATTTTGACTCAGTCGTTTCGGCTATGGACATTTTATTTAATAAAGATCAATCAGCTTTGAACTTAGATTATGTCAAGAATACTCTGTTGGCTGATTATGAGAGAAACGTGAAAAAGGAAGAGTCTAATAATGCATTTTCGTCCTACAGGAGAAAAGGTAAATTTAATAAATTTTCCAATTCAAAGAATACGAGTGAAAGTGTAACGACTGAAAAACATTCTAATGTGATTTGTTACTATTGCAAACGTCGTGGTCATATTAAGAATATTTGCCCAAACTTGAAGAATAAAAGTTTATCTGCCTCTTCAAATGATAAGACCAGTGATGAGACAGAGTTTTTGTTTACAACTGCTTTGGTGGATGAGTCAGACCCTGATAACAGTGTATTCGTTAGTCAACAATCGGACAAAACCTTTTTTTGTTATTGACTCAGGGGCCAGTTGTCATCTGTTAGGAAGTGATTATAAAGACTATCTTATGAATAAATCTGCAGTGAATTTGGAAATCAGTGTTGCTAAGACTGATGAGTCTGTAAGTGCATCTACGAAGGGTGATTTACTGTGTTTATCTGATAATGGAGACACAGCTAACATTTCTGATGTACTAGTCTACGAGAATTTAGCATTTAATCTCTTGTCAGTTCTTAAATTAGAAGAAAAGGGATGTAAGATGGTTTTTGAGGACTCAAGTGTGAAAATTATATCTGGGAACAAGTGTTGAAAGGTCAGCTCTACGGAAAATTATATATTGTGTACTTTAATCTTGTTCGTGATCAAGCCAACACCGGTGTGGTGACTAATCAGTTGATGCATAGAAGAATGGGGCACTCATCTGTATTTCCTGTTGATCTGTGTGAAATTTGCTTAAGAGGTAAATAAACTAAATTACCTTTTCGCAGATCTATACCTGAAGAGTGGAAAGCAACCAGGATTCTTCAACGGATATCTACGGATGTATGTGGTAAGATTTCACCTCCTACACATGATGGATATAATTATTTTGTAACATTTGTTGATAATTTTTAAAATTTTTGTACTACTTATCTGTTACATAAAAAGTCTGAAGTATTCGAAAAATTTAAAGTGTATGTTACCATGGCTGAAACTAAATTTAAATCACGTATTGAGAACTTACGCTGTGACAGAGGTGACGAATACGTTTCTGAAGAGTTTAGACGTTTTTGTCAAGCCAGAGGGATTTCTATAAGTTATTCAATGCCTAGAAATCCATCACAGAACGGCAAATCTGAGCGAATGAATCGTACGCTTATGGAGAAAGTGAGATGTCTATTACTTGATAGTAATTTGGAAAAGGACATGTGGGGTAAAGCACTAATGACTGCAACTTATCTAGCCAATAGATTAACCACGTCAACTTTACCAAAGGGAATAACACCTGCTGAACGTTGATATGGCTGGAAGCCTGATCTGGATAAGATAAAAGTTTTTGGCTGTCCTGCATATTCTTTGAATCACAAGGAAGATACAAGAGGTAAGCTGAGTGAACGAGTATCGCCTCTGGAACCCTGAAACAAGGAAAATAGAACGTGCCAGAAACGTTGTTTTTGATGAACATGCTACAACAGATTCATCTGAAAAACAGGATTTGTTTAATATAATCATGTCTCCTAAAAATAATGATGTGAAATTGCGTGGGAGTGTTATTATGTATCAATTTCACAATTTTGATATTTTATTTTTAGATTGTATCGAGTGTGTCAGTGTTAGAAGTCTTGCCTGTGGTTCACTCTTGTGTGTCTTTGTTATATGTATCTCTCTGTATTATGTCTAAAATAAAATCCGTGTTTATCTTATGAATCGTTTCCCTTTTTGAATCCAAGCGCACTCTAATAGTTATTCCATTCACATCCGTAGCGTCGCCGTTTCGATACTACATATGTGACATCATCAGAATGGTGTCCTATGACACTTGCTCTTGGATCTTAGCTTCGCTTGTGTGTGGCTCCATCAATACGATTACATACGAAGTGCCAGTCGACAGTTTCGCTGTTTCAAAATGAACCAACGCCTACCTAATTAAAGTGATTTCGATCGCTAGTTTTCTTATACTATATACTAGCCGGTTAGGCAGACTTTGTTTTGCACTTTCCGATGACCCTTTGTCCTTAAAAAATCTTTAAATTCGCAATAAAAATATTGAGCTTCACTTATCGGGATAAATACTATCCTATCTCTTATGTTGGCGTAAGCAATACACATTTACATTATTTAATGTAAATGGTTGAATGGTTTCGGAGTTCACCGCGGACAAACAATGTGACACGTAATTTTGATATATAAAGATTATATCAATTACCCCGTATATTGTGTCAATTATTTTACGAAATAAAAGTAGCATCTATGCCGTATAGTATACTACCAAATGCTTGCTAAAAGAGTTCACTGCTGTGAGCAACAAGAACCGAACACGGGCCTACGCCTGACATCGGGTTTGCACATTAGCTCAAAACTAGGGACTTCTTGGACAGCACACCAGTTAAGAGAGTCTTTATTTGGCACTGATGAACTCTTTAAAAGTTATACAGTTTCACTACCGGAAGATGCGCTAGCAGCATTCGAGTAAGTCGTAGAAGAGATGTTTGAGGCGGACTGATAAAATGTTTTGTAAATTGGTTCAGACACACGAAACTTTGCTGTTGGTGGAATTTTATTTTACATTTTGTATCGTATTAACAAGCCTTTTCTTAATTTTGCAAAAGCTTCTGTGTAGAGTATGGGCAAATAAAATTGTAATTGTCATTAAAAAAAAAGAACCCAGAGATCCTTGTCGTTTCTTCGCTGAGAAGGTCACGTTTTCCGAAGGAATGTAGGTTTAATGTTCACAAAAGCTTTAAGCAAGCCTGAATTTAAAAAAACAAGTTGGTCATTGGGATTTTATCATTCCAAATAAGTGTAACTTGGTACTTAAAATATTTTCTTTATCTAAATATTACATTTTATATTTATCATATTTTGTACGTGGTAGAGCCATGCTTCAGCTTATATTATAATAGTATAGTTGTAGCACGAATAGGTCGGCTCGACCAGTTGTGTATCGCTAGCAACGCAAAGTCAGGAATTTGCATTTGGAAAAATCCAAAATTAGGGGCTTTTTAGGTGCTAATTAGGTGCCAAATTTAAAAATTAGGTGCTCTAAAATTTCACCGCAACGAACTGTTGAAATTTGCGTCGCTAGCAAAACGTCTCGCTAGCAACGCAATGAATTTATTAGATATACGATAAATATTAATAGCAAGGAATTAAGTGCTAATTAGGTGCTGCAAATATGCGCAATAACAAGGCGCCCCTAATAAAAATAAAGTCGTTATTCAGAACATAGCAGATGCAAAATTCAGATTTCCTGAAAATCAAAATAGAATCAAAATTGCTTTCAGAAAAAGTCCAAATTAGGGGCTTTTTAGGTGCTAATTAAGTACCAAGTTTAAAAATTAGTTGCTCCAATATTTTCATCGCAACGAACCATTGAAATTTGCGTTGCTGGCAAAACGTATCGCTAGCAACGCTGATGACGTTACTAGATATACGATAAATATTAATAGCAAGGAATTATGTGCTAATTAATTGCTGCAGATCGATTATCGAAACCTGATACAGATTACGATATTATTCTGGGAATTATGGCGTCCACGACCACCATTACCTTACTATAATGTATGAACAGTATTTTTTGTTCTTTATCAGTTCCTAAAAATTAAATGCTAATTAGGTGCTGAAAGATTATTGAGGTCGCATGTAGATGACCGTAATATTCTGGAAATTATCGGATTTAAAACCACCATTACCTTACTATAAGGTATGAACGGTATTTTTTGTTTTTCAGATTTAATATGATTATATTTGAAAATGGTTGAAAATTGGTTGAAAATTATATTAAATAATATTATAGATTTATACTCCAAAATAATAGCACTAAGACTGTATAAAAGGTCACCTAGGTGTTACAAATTATTAAGAAGGATGATTTGCCTGCCAGTTCATTAAAAGCGTTATTAAGCAAGTTTCACATGAAAGTTGGTATTAATGACCAAATTTTTAATGTTTTGGAAAAAAAAAACAATAAAGCAACAGACTCCCTCAGACAATGAGTATATCCTTATGTTTGACGAGATGTCAATAAAAAAGAATTTGTTTTACAACAAAAAGGAGGACATAATTGAGGGTTATCAAGACCATGCATTGCAGGGCAGGTCACCTCAAATGGCAACACATGCCCTCGTGTTCATGATTGGCGGAATCTGTCAAAAAGCTGAAACAACCAATTGCTTATTATTTTTCTAGTGGATCTGTGACTGCAGATAGGCTGTCAGTTCTTATAAAGGAGGTGAGCACTGAGCATTATGGTCTTTTATTTGTTATTATGTCAATATATGTAGTAGTACTTTTTTACCATATTAATTTACCCTTTCATCATTCTAGGTCCTGCAACATTGTTTTGATGCTGGAATTAATATTTCAGCTACAGTGTGTGATATGGATGGTGTGAATAAGAGAGCTTTAAGTATCTTGGGAGCATCTGTAGAACAGCCATATATTCTGCTAAGTAATCGAGAAGTGGTTACCATTTTTGATACTCCGCATTTGCTCAAATGCTTTAGAAATATGTTTTTAAAATATGACATTAAATGTCCAACAAATATAACATCAAATGATCAAATTGGATTTGGTAAGATATTTTGTTTTATTACAATCATAATATTATACATATTTCCAATTTACTGGATATTTACACAAATTTTTTTTACAGGTGTTGCTAAATGGAGCCATATAAAGGAGTTTTATGAAACAGATAACACCAATCCCAATTTTGTGTTTGCACCTTGCTTAAAACAAGAGCATTTAAATCCAAATACGAAGCAGAAGATGAAGGTGAAGCTAGCTGCACAAGTGTTAAGCCACTCAGTTGCTGCAGGAATGTATGCTAAAATTTCACAAGGTAAATTAAATTTATAATTTAAAGTATAATATTTAAACATATGTCCACCCATTAAAATAATTATTAACTTAAAAAGGAACTAGGCTTAGCTTTCCATTGACGTCAGTCGAGTTTGGTGTTGATACGTACAGAAAAGTTACACAATTATAAGCACACACACAAAGTTTCAACATGCGGAAATGCGTAATTTTTGAGAAAAGAATTATTGAAAATCAATTATTCTTGCAATGTTTATGTCTAATCCTACCATAAAACTGGCGCCATTTTGTAATGTTGTCGACGTCAATAGGGATGTCGATTCTTTCCGAAAAAGGTCGATTTTTAAATCGTTTCAAATCGTAAGCTGATGTATCGGTTCACAAAAAATCGATTTCTAAAATATCTATATTTTTTTAATGTTTCTATTTATAATGTAAATATAAACCATTTTATGAAAAACAAGAAAGATACCATGATAAATGATCTCTTATTGAAATTTGTTTTATTTCACAGTACCTATTAGGGCAGATAACAAATAAAATAGGTTAGGTTCAACTTATGTCAAAGAACCGAATTGATTGACCCCGACTCCACCTGGTACGAATCTGTCCTACCCCTAGAGTTGTTTTATAGAGTCGGAGGCGCGTAGGGGGAGCAGCCTCCGCCTGCTGTAACAAATCGTAGGCATCGGACGAGCCGGAGCGGCTGAGGCTGGTCGCCGAAGGCGACCAACAAGCCGAAGCTGCGGAGGCGACGAGGGATGCCTGCGATTTGTTACGCTAAGGCGTAGAGACTGCTCTTCCCGCAGCGCCGGAGACGTAGCAGTCTCAAAATAGATACAGAAATCCTTCTGAATCAGTCCCCTTATTTTTTTATGATGGAGGGGATTTTTTGTTCATAAAATGGATATAAATTACACTACAATTTACATTATAAATGCAAACATGAAAAAAATATCGATATTTTAGAAATCGATTTTTTGGGAATCGATACATCAGCTTACAGTTCGAATATATTTAAAAAATCGATCTTTTTCGGAAAGAATCGACATCCCTACTGACAATAATAATAAAAATGGCGTCAGTTTAACGGTAGGAATTGACTAAATATTGCAAAATTATTTGATTTACAATGTTTTTTTCTCAATAAGTACGTGTTTCCGCATATTGAAACTTTGTGTGTGTGCTTATAAAAATGTAAAAATACGTATCAACACCAAACTCGACTGACGTCAATGGAAAGTCGTACCAAGAACTAGGCTCTCCCAAGTACAAATTATTGTTTATTGTGTGATATGTGATATTTTTTTTGAGTGATCTTGTAACGTACTTTAAATCATATTTCTTTAATCGTAATAGTAAGATCTTAAATTATGTGTTGTTTACAGGGGAACTCTCTTCAGAGGCCGTCACTACAGCTAATGTTATTGCAAATATGGACAAGCTGTTTGATTGTGTCAAAGCATGCACACCAGACC